AAGACCACAACAAAAACAGATGATGCACCAAAAATGCATGCAATTGATAAATTGCTTTTTAGAAATTGCTTTAGAGATGAAAAAAGCATCTAAATAAAATAGAAATTTCACTCTACAAGAATATTACAAAAAAAAAAGTATCACAAATTGTGGCAACACATAAGAATCACATATTTGGCACAATAACAGTTTTAGACATAATTTATCTGCAAAATAGATAATTTAATATAATACATTTTTTTGTAATTTAATACATTTATTTATATTTTATTCCATATGAATTTTTCAATTAAATAAAAAATTTTTTTAATAAAATTACAATTTAAGGTGGAAGCCTTCCCGGAAGCCATACGGTACTGGGAACGTGCATATGATGGCAAAATTTTAGACCCCGGCGATAAATATCGTATGGAATTATATCCTGATGGGTAAATGTTAAATTAAAAAATATGCTAAAATCATTTCATTCCATTTAAAATAATTTATAGCTTCAAGACTCAAATGCGTTTAACCATTAGTAACCTACGCAAGGATGACTTTGGCTTTTATCATTGTGTGGCTCGGAACGAACTTAATGCAACAATGGTCAATTTTGAAATTGCACGTAAGTGTATATGAATGTTTTCATCTCATTATACATTCCCTGTATGTGAATTGGGAAAATGTGTGCTAATTAGTTTATTGTATTCGTTACTTGCAGCACAAGATCCCAACAGTGAGACACCGTATGTGGGCAAAGAAATTAAAGTTTATGGCCAAAGACCACCCGAAAGCAATTGTCCAGTATGTGAAGAATGCCCCGATCCAAGGTATGTGCTATATCTTAAGAGTTGGTTGTGTTTTTGGTTGTGTTCAACTATTTCAAAATACTAAGAAAAGTAGTTTAAAGGAAATGTTAGCCAAGATATTCTAAATCAAAGCTATTGTAATTTTTAATTTAACTTAAATTAATTAATTTAATTAATTCTTAATTCTAAGTAATTAGAAGCAAATGTTGTACTATAAAAAAGTTTTGAAATTTTTTAATGGTTTTCTCTCGCTAGACCTCAATTACCTTGAAAAAAACCAAGTATATCAAATGCTTAAACTACCATTAACAAATAGAAGATATTAAATATATATAAGTTAGAAAATCAGATCACATAACTTTCATATTGCTGTCTTATGCTATTTCAATAATGTTTAGTTACACTGTTAAATTCTAAAAGTTACTATAACAAGCTATAACTTGGTCATCAAAGTAATGACTAATGGTAGTAAAAGTCAAATGGAACTCTTGTCAAATTTATAGGTACGCATTTTATTACGTTGAAATATTGGGTTCCCTACTGGCTATGCAACCTCTGACAAAATAATTCATACCAACTTTGGAGTATTGTAATGCTTAACCACCTAACCAACGTTTCTTTATTCTAATTTCCAATTTTATTTTGGTTTTATGAAAGCCAGATATATATTTAAAATTTTTTTTTATCAATCGAAGTATGTCAGCAAAACAAATAATTAAGGCATATTCTGTTTTTACACACAAAGATACTGGAACCATTACTGGAACAAAAGAGTTCTGACTCTATAGATATAATAGATATAAGTAATTGTAGATTTCAATTTTTAATATAAATTTTAAACGTAGCAAGGTTTTAATCAAAATATAAAAAAATTTCCTATTGCTACTCCAAAATCTCCAATATCAATTAAACAATATATTCTTCATTTCCTTACTTCATTTAGCTTTCGTTAATTATGATTCGCTTCAAAATCAATATGTAATTTATACTAAAATGTAATTTAAAAGCTCTCAAATGATCATAATTTAAATTTTTTATTAATAAAACCTTAAAAAGAAACCTAATTTCTGTATATTATGAAGCATTATTAAAACATTATTCAATAAATTCTCATAAAATGAAGATATTTTTCAGTTATTTTCGCCATTAAATCGTCCGCTTATTTAAAATTGTGTTTACTTCGCATACTTTATTACAGTCCTTATAGTAAGATTTACATGTACTTGAAACTGTATCATCCGACACAGAACTGAATATAGAATTTTTATTTTCCATTTTGCGCCTTTCTTCTCCCATTTAGGTCATTTATTTGTGCAAACCAAAGAGGATAATTTAAATTTATTATTGTGCTCACCCACTTAAGTCCTCATTCATAGCTCCATACAATTGTACGTGTTTGTGGTATAAGATGCTGCATCGTGCAACCAACTGACCTATCGACCAACCAATTCACCAGACCCTCGGCACAATTATAATGCTAACTTGATGCTGCAGCACGTTAGACTGTGCAGTTACAAATACTTTTTTAAAAAAATCTTCTTTTAAATATTTCCTGCATAAATCTGTTATCCTTTGGCTTTGCAATACAGTTTTTAAACGCTGCTCATCTTTACTACTGCAGTTGCTGCTGCATTTTTGCGTCGTTGAATAATTTATTCATTACAACCGCTTATTTCGACAATAGTGCCATAAGGTCGAATATTTTTATTGCACCCACATATATAATTATAAATAAAATTCTTTTTTTCAGTTTATATCAGTGCAAGGACTCGATTAATTCCAACTTTGAAGTTCAACCGACTGGAAATAATAGTTATCCTGGACTACCAAAACGTCAAAAAAGTAAGTGCATAAATAACGTTGAATGCTTTTTTATCTCTTTTTAAATTTATCATATAAATCTAAGGGAAAAACGAATAATTTCAGAAACTCTAATTGAATTCAATTTAAGTTGAATTTTTTTTCTAAAAAGCTCATCTTTGCTTGAAAGCCATGCGCTATCTGTGAGATAATTAATTTTGCAAAAATTTATGTGGCTATTTCCGCTTCAATTGAATTTATTCCATTTTAACTCATTGCAAATGCTACCATTTTTCATATTTTTTCTGTATATTTTTTTTTATATATAATTTAAATTAATTTCATTTAATGTTGCATCTCAATTGCAGGCTGCCTTTTGTATGCCGTTGGCAAGCCTGTTTTCCATAAATCAGTGAACGAAACGTATGGCTGTTGGTTGAGGGATCCTGCTGCCAAAGAAACTGACCGTGAAAAAACCTTTGTTACCAATGAAAACGACGCCTACAATCTGTTTGAATTCACAACGAAAATACAGTATCGTTTAAATAACGTACCACGAAAAAAGTATGGAATCAGCGAAGGTTTTTATGTAAGTAATTGAGCACTAAAGGCTTTGGCATGGGAAGAATGTATCAGTGATTGATTAATGGTATTGAGTTTATGATATTTAAAGCGTAAGCCTTTTATGCTTCAAAAGTGATAAAAAAAAGTTTATTATGGCTTATCTTATTGAAATTCTTGTTATTGAATTGTTACGAATTTTTCGTGTCAAATTACAACAAATTTAAAACTTAAGATTAGTAGGTAAAAATATTTTAAAAGAATAAAAAACGTTTGATATGAAAGCTTGTAATCAGGACGTTAAACCGGTTTTTCATAGAATAAGATTTCAGATCTGATCTGGTTCAATTACAGCCAAAGAGAGGTACTAGATACGTTTTCCAACAATGGAACAGATAAATAGTTTCACTTTACATAGGTAACGTCTCATAAAGGTGGAAATTAACAGGAGAATGTTTATTTAAAAAATCAGTGATTAAGTTTAAGTGATTATTTTGAATTAGTTGATTGAGTTGCAGTAATTATTCGATATTTGCTTAAACGGTAACGACTTATAGTGTTTGTATAAAAAGGAAACTTGTCAGCTATTTCATTACCATCGATATCCTTAAGTGCAGATATTTAGATGACCGTGACTTTATAAATGGTAGCTAACCTAGATATGAGGTTTTTGCAGTTTCACATCAGGTTGAATGTGGTGGTTCAGAATGCAAGAGATTTTGTGACTGCCACAGCTTTGTACCACAGCATTCAATGGTAAGCACTTCTGACTGAAATACTGTGGGAAAATTCTCGATTGTTAAACGACACTGAATTGTTTTTGATCCGCTTTTGAATTTAGAGCAATTGGTCGACAAAACATAAGCATTTGAGTATTATCTAAAATTATCTACTTCCAATTCATTTTTTTATGAAATTACCTGCACACATGTACCCTAAAATCAGACTTATCTCTAACGTATGTGATATTTTAATAGATTTTCTGTAAGTTCAACCTACATTTAAGATATCATATGTGCAAGTCGGAAATCATATTATATTTTTTACACTATACAATATACTACATAATATATTTATAATGTATTTATAAACATATTTTTTTACTTCGCTCGTAATAACTATGTTATGTTAGTACGCCAGCCTCTAAACTTTTCTAATTGACTTTTAGACACTTATTTGCTTTATACGTAGCCACAATAGAATAGCTCTACACTGTACTCAAGGAGTTTAAGGTACTTAGATGCTTTGATTTTGGTCAACATGGTATTACTTCATAAGTGACAATAAGCCTAATCTTAGTTTAATATGAGCAGAAATTTAGTTTCCAGCTTATTTCACATTTTGACGTCGGTTATTATTTGTTGTCTTGTATGTTTTCCTCTTCAGATGTTCATTTCATACCAAGTCTCCAATCAAAGATAATTTCAAGATATATAGCTTTGAAAAGCGTAGTGTAGTGAGTCAATGAAGTGTAATGTTTGCAAATAGAATTGAATTTCGTTCAAAAATGGTATCAGTATACTTTATATATTAAGCGGTATATTTTTATTGAGTTGCTTTGCTTTAAATATAATATCTATAATGTGACTTTTGATAAATTTCATTATTATTTTAAAAAATTTGCTAAATACAAGCATCCATATATTAAATAATTTTTTGTTTTTAAATAAAATTATTTTATGTATATTATTTTGTTAAGATTCTGTCTTTGTATGTGTATCAAAATTGCAATACAATTATTTCCTTTTATTATTTTTTAATTTTTTTTTTATTTTGTGTGCATGTAACGGATACTTGGTATATTCTTGACACTTACCCTCGCATGGTGTGTATTTACTTTATGGTACAAAACTCGGAAGTGGTCATAATTTTCAGATATTTTGTGACATTTTGTTGCAGTTTGTTGACCGCATCTGTGTGCCATTTAACAGTGGCCACAAGTGACAACATTCACACCAGAATGAAATGAACAACAGATATACACACGCCCATTAACTTAAGTAATGCCCTGCCTTTACATAGTTTTCAGAAGAGGCTGTTAAAAGTTTTCATGAGAAGAAAAATAATGTGTGGAAAAGGACATAACTCGGATGCAGAAAATTATTTTTAAATTTATTTTCACATTTTAGCTGCGTTTGTGTTCTTTTATTGAATTGCATGTTCTTTTTATTTATATATCTTTTTTCTTTATTTTTGCAGGGAAACGCACATATTGTATACAATGGGTCTTTCTACTATAATCAAAGAAATACAAACTTAGTTGTTAAATTGGATTTAGGAACCATGGAAAAGATATGTGAGTACAAAAATTTTTTAGTAAAAAAGTGAATTGCGAAATAAAATTATATTTAGTTAGAGTAAAACTTATAACTTTTTAAAATGTTTATGTCATTTTTGTATTCGTACACTCAGAAAAATATGCTCTAACCATATGATAGTTAAATTAACCTGTTCATTTTGTTAGAGAAATTTTAGCTCATGTGGTAAAACATATATGAAAACGAACAGCTCGTATGGTTGAACCAACATATTGCGTCGAGAAAGAATATTTTGACCTTAGATTAGTTAAAATTTGGTTAAATCAACTAAACTATTTTCTGAGTGTACAGTTGCATTAACAAAATTTGATGAGTTCCTTGAGTTCTGTGATGAATGGATTAAAAGAAATTATACTTTTTATATTAATGATATGTTATGACTGGTTTGTATTTAGTAGACAATTAAAAAATTTAGTTCATTATATATAGCTTTGATGTACCTTTTACTTATGAATACAGTATTGCTTAATTAATTGATTAAAATTTGTATTACAAACATGCTTTTTCACGTTATAGCCACAAACCTAATGAAGACTTTTTACTTACAATGTAAAGTTTATATAAAAATTTAGAGTGATATTATTATTAAGAATTAGTTATTGTTTTGAAAAACTCATTCATTTATGCAAAATTAAAAAAAAACTATTGTTTATAACAAATTTTTAGATTCGAAGTATTATTTCTAAAATATATAAACTAATCACAATGTAAATAATAATGTCACCATCTAATTGCTGATGACTTAGTAAATAATTATTTATTTACTTGTTACAAATTTCACTATTTTCTGCATCAAATTTTCTGGAATATTCTTAATGAGACCTTCTATTACAAACAAATTGCATATTAATTATATACTAGTAACTTGCTTGTGATATTCTTGCTGTCCTTGCTACATCCTGCTCAGCATGCAATTATTTACCGTCAACATATAATTCGCAGCCACATCTTTTCACATAAAAGGTTACCACAATGGCGTTGAAAATGAAGACATATCACCGCATTACATTTCGTCACTCGTTTAATTGTGCTAATGCCTTGCCTTCCCCAGCTAAATTTCACCAACTTTTTTGAGGTTATGATGTGCTCTTCATTTCACAATTTTACTACTTTTTTCCTTGTTTTTGTAGCATTTGCTGTGCAAACTTTAGTAAATTTATTTGCAACTAAAGATAAATATACACACATATATATTTAGACGTCACTTCGAGCAGATACGTATATTCCCACGCTCAACCAGAATTGTAATAGATTGTTTCACATTTTTACATAAATATATGTTATCGTATTTATGTTTATGTATATATATAAGAATATGAGTATAAATGTGTCGCAATTTGTTTGCATTTTAACGTCAACAAAATGCAAGTTTGTTGTTAATTTTTGTTAAGTTTGTTATTATTTTTGTTAGTACTTGCACTGCTCATTTTGCTTAAAATTCGGTTTTAGTCTTTCCCTCGGAGCAACACTTTTACAACATCTCATAAACATTTCATAAAATGTTTAATGACACAAACAACTTGCATACTAAAATGTCATTGCAAAAATATTTGCTTTTACTACTAAAAACATAACAGGCAACCAACGAAAGAACGAAATAATTGCTCTTTAAGTGCAAACTTCATATAAAAGTTTAATGAATTTACATACATGACGTATATGTACTCATAGGTACTCATGTACACAAGGTAATATATGCAGTTCAAATCTAAGGTACGTACTTCACAAGCTTATGTACATACATATTTTTTTGTGAAATCATTGTACTTCATTAGTGAGTTTTCGACACATTGGGTCCAATAATTAGTTTGGTATTTGGTGAAACGGTTGATTTTTATTATATTATAAAAAATAATATAATAGCACTTTCTTGCTTTAATTCAGCACTTTTACAATTATACTAATAAGGGACCACAGTGATGAGGTTTTCTCTGCTTCGTCATGTTGTTTAAAACAGTGCTGTTTAAGCTATTTTCAATGGCATAATTACAAACCAATACACTCAGAAACATAATTTGATTGTTTTAATCAGATTTTAACTAAATCTCAGGTCAAAATATTCGTACTCGACGTATCATGTTACTCTATACATACCATACTATGTTGGTTTTCAAATCTTCTTTACCACATAAGTTAAAATTTCTTTAACAAAATCATCAGGTTACTTTAGTATGTAATCAAGTCAACTAGTATATAGTTAAAACATAATTACAAACATAATTACCTTCTAAATTAAATGTAAGAACGAACAAAACAGGACTAAAGGTGAAAATTGATAATTGTGATGTGACTTTTTGTATGACCGAATAAAGCGTAAAATTGTGGAAGCTATTTTTTATATGACTTTATATGACTGTAGCCCTTACTAAGCTAGATTTGAAGTTTCTTATATATAAAATTTCAACAGATCACCAAATTACCAAGCATGTCTAAATACCCTTAACATTGTTTTAAAAGCTAAACAATGTAAAATCTAAGTACACATCTGTGAACTATAATTCAAAATTTATAACTTAAAAATTAAGTAGTCCATGCAAATATTGCTTCAATTATGTATACATCAATAAACAATTATGCATTATTAACATTGAAGTAAATAATAATAATGTCATGGATTTTAAGTGTAATTAATATAAAATTAATAATAGAATATTTACGCACCAAATCATAAATATATATATAAACCCTTTATTTGAATTCTAAACATATTTAATAACTCATTTTAAGTATTCATTATATTTATAATATGTAACTTTTATTAATACTAACCTAATTATAGTACCACACAATTATTCCAAATTAGCTTTTCAGTGTAATTTTACTGAAGCTAATATAGGAAAAAATTAATTTCATAATAATATCTATTTATTCTTCAATTTATATACAATTGTTTAACAGACGTTAATAAAATTTGCATCAATTTATATCTGAAATGCCACAATTCTACCACACAAATATACTAACTTAAATGCAAAGTAAAATAACTGCTCTATAAATGTTGGTATCTGTAATGGCTACACTAAATTTGTATCTCACAATGCAAACAGTTTAAATTTAATATAAACAAACTAATAGTATGTACAGAATTGAGATTTAAAATTTATTGTTTACACTTACTACAATATTAAGAAGTTATATACAAAATCGTATTTATTGAAATTCTATATAAAAGTAAATTCTAAACATTAAGCAGAAATGTTATAAATTAATGTTTTCCTCTACTCCCAATACGGATATATACGAGTACAAATCTTTATAATGGCATTTTTTGTACTTACAGCAACTAGTCTGCCTTATGCTGGCGTTGAACGTAGGAACAAATTGTACTCTACGGACTATAACTACATGGATTTTAATGTAGACGAGGTTGGCCTGTGGGTGATTTACAGCACTTATGATTCAAACAATACACTTGTGGCAAAGGTGAGTACTTAACTACATGTACCTACATACACTGAAATACAAATCCAAGTTATATTGCTTGATGTACTGATGCAACGCACATGTACAGCTAACATAAATATAGATTTTTTCAAATAAGATACTGTAAAAGCCTTAGATAATACTTAAAAAAATAGTATTTAAAAGAAGCAAATATAAAATTTTTTTTTTATTTTTTTGGTTTATGTTGAGGTTAAGTTTTTTCTCAAAGTTTTTAGATTGTTAAGTTCAAACTGTTGCCTTGAATATAAGCAATTTACACATAAAATGAAATTTATTACTCCGTATTTGTATTTGAACTTTAATTTAAATGGATTTTATGAACTGCATTAAAAGTACAAATAAATTATATATATTTCGTTATGTAGTAAAATATATTATGTACTAGTAAGTACATACAGCAGTAAGTACATATATATAAACAAATATGTACAGAACGTTTCGCTAAAACCGAACTTCGAAGTGTCGGAAAAAATATTGTTTTTCAAGTGAAGTTCAATTAAAGTGTAACTCTAGATATACTAAGCAATTATTATTATTATTCTAATATTATTTCAAAATGTATTGCGATTGCATCAAATAAATTATGTGAAAAAACGTGCGGTTATATATAGTTTTAAACTTATTAAATATAGCACATTCTGTAAGATTCTTGTACTTTTATTGTCATAAATAAATTTATCATTGCTTTGAATCAAGGTTTTATCTACCAATAAACTTTCAGTTATACGCTTATATATCTAAATACTTCTACTCTTGAAGATCTATATAGCTGCATTATATTGAATGCAACTATACATACTATATAATGTATATAGTACAGGTAATATAATATATATACTATATTAATATATAATATTTCTTTCTTTATGTTTCTTAACAATTTAAAAATGAATCCTTTCTATATATATCAAATTTAGATTAAAGTTCAATACAATCTAGTTTCAATCCTTCTAAAATTTCTTCTAAATACAACTACCTTCATTTTACTATCCTTGCCAATTTATACTTAATTATATTGAACCATAACATTGCAATATTTTTTATTCTTAATTTATTTTCATAGTTGGATGCTGAAAACTTAAGGGTGCAGTATAATTTCAACATTACATTGGATCATCGAAAATTTGGTGAAATGTTTATTGTATGTGGTCATCTTTATGCCATTGATTCCTGTTCTGATAAAAACTCACAAATACGTTATGTTGTGGATCTGTATAATGGAAAATTGCTTAATGTGGATTTACCATTCTCTAATCCTTTCCGTAAAACAACAACTGTGGGCTATAATCCACTAACTGTGGTAAGTATTATTATTGCAATTGTTTGTATCTGAATTCCAGAGATTTATAACAAACTTTGAATATTTTAAGTTGTATGTGTATAGGTACATATATTTTAATTGAAATCATAAGAGAATATAGATGAAAAACTGTGGTACAGCAAATTATATACAAATTTTTGAACCTTAGTTCAAAATATTAATTTTACGTACAAATTTGGAAACTTGCCCCAACTGCATGTGATTGACAGTGAAAGTCTAAAATTGAAATTTCCTTCCAAATTTGCTGCTTATGTCATTTATTGCTATTAAGCGCATTATTGCCATGCAGATAACTTCATTGGTAATTGTGACGTTGATGATAATTTTATTACTCACTAAAGCAGGTCAGCCTCTATTGATATTGATAGTGATGATGATGGCTAGTATCTCATGGCTAGGACAATGGAAATTTCATTTTTAATTTTGTTGACGAGTTTCAAAATTGACTTTGCCATAACAAGAAATTTTGGTGCATGTTCCATATTCATTCTTGTTATGTTAGTTAGTGAGTTATTACAGCTTGAAAATGATTTCTATTGAAATAAAGTATGTAGTGTTTAGCTGTATTAAATTTGTTTGATGTTTGGTTAAAAGCTGCAGTAATATAGAAAACTTCACTGATGTTTAAAATGAAAATATCTACAATTTCAGGTTTTGTTTTTGAATGTGGTTAGACTATGGGTTAATTATTTGGATCGTTCGATTAAACTTTGTACCTTTAAAATTTGAAGGTACATTATAATATCTAATATAATATCTAATAATAATAGTTAAAGATTTACACCACTACCACTTATAAAGACTTACACCTTTAAAGTATTAATTTTAGAAATATTTTTATAAGACAAAGTTAAATTATTTCATATTATATTCTAATCAATAAATAAGTAAGCTGATTTGCTTGAAGTTATATCTACGATTTATCTGAAACTATATTACATCAAAAACGTTTATAATGAGACCACTAAGAAGATTAATTTATTCGTACTTGAAACCTATTATCTTTCCATTCCACAATAGATGTGATTTCAACTGACATTTAGAAAAATTTTTCAGGTTTAGTTTTTTTCAAATTTTTTTTTACTTATAAATAATTTTTCTTTCTCTTATGTATTCTCGTTTCTGCTTAATTTTCGGAATCTGAATTCGTTTTTGCTTGAATTCTGATCCTAATAAGAATCCATCACAATCAATAGCAGTTTTTTTTATATTTTTTATGTTGATTTGTTCTAGCTGTCTTTGAATATATGCAAAACTGTTGACTGGAGCAGAATAAATGCCAGGCATCCTGAAATTTAATAAAATTTCTTGGACGAAGTCCAATGTAATAACATTGACGTTACCATCAACTATCAGCAACATAATCTTCATCATTATTATTATCAGTTCAAGCAAAACTTTCAATAACACCACAAAAACAGGAAAAAAAACTTTTCATTTTTGTCATTTTTATCAATTTTTATGACATCATGTAATGTGGTTAACTTTTTGAAGTACCCAAATTGTGGTAAGAAGAGTCGTTTGTTAGCTTAATTTTGGCTTATAGCTTATACTTGTCATTGCAACAGTCTTTATTATTTAGTTAAAGCAAAAAATTAATTAATTTCCCTTTCATGCGGTTTAGTTTTACATACAATGTAAAGATTTTATTAAAAATATTCAAGAAGCTGAAAAAACTCAATAGGATAAATGATTTAGTTAGTTGATACTCGTTAAAATATAATTAATTTATTAATATTAAATTTTCACAAATATCAAAACTTGAAATAGGATTCATAATACAACATTAAAGACTGCACTATTTAGCGCAATAAATTTTATAAAAGTTATTGATGAAATGGTTGAACTCATAAGTTTTGCTTAATAGAATCAAACTTGATTTAGCTCCAGCTCCGATTTCTTGGAGTTAAACTTTCTGTAAACTGAAAATATTTTAAATGGTAATTTTTAATGTTGAAAATGACGCTTTTTTCGACGAAAAGGAACTGGAACTATCTCTTAGTCTATTTATAGGAAAGATTCGAAAAGTTTTTGAAGAAACAACAACAAAAATTTTAATTAATTTATTGAAACTTGACTGACCATATAAATATAGACGCCATAGATATACTTTTAGTTTGTTTGGCTTATATTTTTCTGAATAAACATATTTGTTTCTTTTTAAATGTGATTATTCTCATTACATATTAAAAAATCAATAATACATTCGCGTAAAATGAATATTGCAATTAATTTAAATAAAACGTGACAAATTTTCAATCAATTTATTTTTCCATTGAGTCATTGTTTAACAACGTCGACTTAGATTGAATATTAATTGGCTGCAATTTACTGCAATCTATAACTGCAATGTACGCAGTACATTATGGTTATATAGTGAGGAATGCTTCAATTGTAAATTTTGCGAATACAACGAATTCTATTGCATTTAAAGTTCCTAGTGACCACCACCACATTACAATGTACACGTCGAGGCATTTCTAAAATTTTGAGTTTGTCTTTGTCATGTCACTGATGCAGTATTGATGATACGTGCTTCTCAACCACTCGTCAATTTATTGATTTTCAATTGTTATCACATTGTTCAATGTCAGTCAATTTAGTATCTCGAAGCGTCCTTGCACATTT